AGGATTCAGCCCAGGTTTGATAAAAAGAAAGAAAAAAAAATAAAAAAAAGAATGGCTTTTAAGATTCTAACCATCAGTAGCCAAAGTCATGTGTTTTTCTTCCCCCTTTCTGTGGAAGTGCCATGTTCCCATGGCACCTCCTTTGCTGAACACCCAGCCCTGGAATCAGCAGTTTCTTTGCCTGGCATCAAGCACATTTGCCTCCAACCCAAAAAGCCTTGCCTGGTCAGCTCCTGGAGTTGTCCCATTTGTCCCTGGGACTCAATTCCAGCTTTGATCAATGGCCAGAGCTGCCATCTGCAAAGCACTGAAGGGTTCAGCAAAAGGCTGTTTTCGTTTCTTTTCAGCACCTTAAATGTACTTGTGAAGTCACCTTGAGCACACAGAGATGACTTGTGTTTCTCCTGTTGATGAGCTTTCAGATGAGCTGATTAGAAGGTGTTTGATACCGGGCTGCACTGCCAGGGAGAGCAATGATACTCCTTCAGCTCCCTTCTTCCTGGCTTTTCCCAGATAATCACATTGAAAGGTAGGTTTTCCCTTGTTTCTGTGGCCTTTTGTCACGATATAGGAAAAAAATCTGATGATTTCTGCTCCAAACACCCCAGGCTTTTACAGAACTGAAATGCCCTGTAAATATTTCTCATTCATGAGCAAAGCAGTCTCCCATGCCCGTGTGTGCTGCTTTGAGTGCCCCTTCCCTGGGCAGCACATCCAAGGGGACACTCCCTGTCTGCCAAGGCTCCCAACAGCAGGGCTTTAATGCACCTTTTTAATGCCACACCTTTAACACACTATGAAAATATTTCTGAGAATATGCTTCTAAAGGAGAAACTCAGTGTGTTCTTGTTTGTTCCACAGCAATAAAGCAATGGGGGGGAGGGGGAGCACACTGTCACAAGGCAGGCAGATCCTGAATTTCACCTCATTATAACACAAATAGAGCCAGGTCAAACACATCATGAAACAAGAGAAGAATCTGAAGTAAGATTTTGCCTTTATGTGGCACCACATAACAGAAACGGGCAAAGGCCTAAATGTACCAGATGAATCTTGAATGACGGCATTTAAAAATATTCAAAAGAATCACAATCATCTGTTATGCTGGAGGATGTGCCACATGGAATTTTTTTGTTTATAAGAATATGAACTATTCTTCAAACTTCCTTGTACTTCTTTTTGCCTTTGAGCTCCCACTAGTCTTATGGTTGGTTAGCTGAGACATTCCTTTCAATAGTTACAATTCCAGAGAGGCAAGAAACAGCAGAGAAATAAAATTATTCTAGAGCATCAAGAGAAACTCAGCACTGCAAACTGGGGTGGCAGAGGTGGGCAGCAGAAAGGAAAGGTATTTACTGAGTCAAGTCAGTATTTGACTGAAGAGGAAAAAGCTCTCTGTTGCCTGCAAGCTGGGAAACTAAAAAATGAATACATAGGAAAACTGATTTCCCTCTGGTATTATAAACCTACTATTCAGTGTGTTGGGAAACAACAAAAGAAAGGGAGAAGTAGAATAGCTCAGATTACACCCCCACAGAAATGATGGCCCGCAGGTTTAGAAGCATTGTAACAAACCTGAACATTTAACAAGCCTCTGCCTTTAAAGGATGAGCAAAGCAAAAACTGACCTCAGACTTAACGGGCCATACATGAAAAAACAGGATTTCAGCTCCCAAAACTGACACTCTTCGAACTAACAGAGAATGGTCCTCTCTTACTCAGATCACTGAGACTACCTTGGACTGAAACAGGGAAAACATTGTCTCTGGTATCTTAAAAGATGACACCACCTCATCTATGTCATGTTTTATATTTTATATCCAATCCTTTTCAACCTGAATATGTAATTCAAAAATTAATCTAGAGTTATGATAATCTAGATTAACAAAAACTTGGTATTGGCCACAAATTCAGTAAACACAATGCCAAGGGAAAACAGGAAGTAGCACAGGGGTGTAAGAAGGTGTTCAAGTCTGGCATCAGTGAGGGGAGGAGGGAGGAAAGGAAGAATGAAGCAGAGAAAGAATGGAAGGACATTAGAGATAGGAACATGTATTGAAATGGGATAAAAATCTATCACGAATTCCCTCAAATGACTTGGCTAGACAGTAACACCTTTTTTTAAACAAGCCTTCATTAAAACATTTGATGTTGGACTATCCAAGAACAGACAATTAGTAAAGGTATAGAAAAAGTGTGCAGGAAATTGTACTGCACTGAAGGAATAGATCATGCTCAGTACAGAGAATGATTACAAGCAAAGTTCTTTCTTCTTGGCATTAATACTCTTTAGTATTTTTATGTTAATGAAATTTCTAATGAAACTAAATCTGCAAGCACTGCTAAAATGAAGGATAATCCAAACAAATAAAACAAGAACTGGATAACCTTAAGGACTGTAGTAATATTAGGGACATTGATTTACGTGAATAGTGTTAGGAAATGGCAAGTCATATTTTCTTAGCACTATGTAAAAAAAAAAAAAAATTCGACCAAAAGCTAGAACCCACTGCTGAAAAATGAGTTAGGAAGGGAAAGACCTTACTGTACTGTTCCAGGAAAGACTATCATGTGAAAGTCGTGCAGCTGGGAAGAAAAGCAGAGGTGGCTCTTGGAAGAAGGGTGGGATTGATGCCATAGTGTAACAGAGATTTCCTCTGGGACACTATTTATGGTCCTAGTTATTCCTAATGAAGAACTAATGCTAGCTCTGCATTTCTCTTAACATACTCCTGTATGAGAAAGATAAAAAAAGACTGGCATATTCACTTTCATGAAATGCAGCCTATGAGAAACTATGACTATTTTCATTAAACGTGTTATGAAGGTCCCAGAAGGGCTGGGGAAGACATTGAACTAAACAAAATTTTTTGCACAAGCAGTGGGTATTAATTTCATGCCTTCATAGCCATGAAAACACTTGGGGTAGAGTTTAGGGAATATCTAACCATCACAAGAGAGCAGTGGTGAAACAGGTATCCAACAGGAGCAGTAGGGCAAGAAACCAAGCTACTTTAGGGATTCAGTTTAACCAGTTTAAAGGAGGGATTATGACCCAAGTACCTGCACTGAATGACTCAGATGTCCCTTTCAATCTTATTCATCCTGCCTATCTCCCTACCAGCGTTTCTGTCTGAAGTGATTCATGCAGAGCAGACAGCCTGGTTTTCATCTGAACACAATGACGCATATGAAGAGCAATCATTTCCTAAAACAGCGTGGAAGTGTTTCAAAACACAGGTCAAGTGTTACCTTTCTCCCCATTCTTTAATGGCCTCTGTTACTGCGGTGAGACAGCCAGAGATGCTGTGGTGAGATGCACTCAGCATTCTGATTTAAACCCAGCTGACCTTTGTGATGCCCCGACAGAGCTCAGAGACCCACGAGAGACCTCTGCTAAGAGCACCCTGACTGCTATGGGAAATCAAACTCCTCCCCTTTCTGTCATACAGTGAGCACTGTGGCTTCCTACCATGCTGAAAAACTATTCTGAGAGCTCCATACCTTGTTTTTTAGGATTGCTTCTCAAAAGATAACTGATCTGGTTTCAAACTGATCTCGCTACTTCAAATCCGATAAAAGGAAAATTTCAACCTGTAAGTCCCACTTTCTAAGTCTGAACCAGACCAAGTGCTCTCACTGAGAAGCAGAGGCAATTTAATTTTCAGTTTTGCATAAGGACTGACCCAGCAGATACTTCCTGGGAATATTTCCCAGGGTAGGTCCTGAAAGGGTGAGAGGCAGGGGATATCTGGTTTGTGAATCCCACAAAGATTCAGTCATCTCAGCAATGCAGGGAGAATACAACTATACCAGTAGTTTTCTTGCACATTATATTCAGCCTAACAGACTGGTAATGTAGTAGTTGGCTGCAGGTATGAAATTCTGAATCAAATATCAATGGAAATTCTATAATGAACTGCAAAACCCCCCAAACAACTAAGATTTGATCTAATCTCAGAAGACCAAGTGCATCATCCCATTTGCTGTTGTGAATGTCACCACACAGAAGGGGTGAGCTTTCCTGACAGTCTCACTTCCTTCCTTTTATGTGTGTAAAGTACTTCACACAACAGTGTCACAAGGGTTTTAACTTACCTGGAAATTAGTGAATTGCAATGAATGAAACCTGGACACAAATGTAAACCATGTTCTTAAATGCTCTCTAGAATAGCAGAAAGAAGTTCAGCTGTACCAAGTTCTTACTCACTGTAGCACAAATTATTATTATTTTGTACTTCAGTGCAAACAGAAAACCCACATAACAGTTCATAACACAGAAGATACTTTAAAAATACAAATACTTGCCTACTGTATCTTAGAGTGTGACATTAATCTTCAAAGTGCTGATAATGATCTTAGAGTGTCAAGAAACACACTTGCAATATATGTCTTTATAAAAGGAATCATGAATTTGATTTGCTCTGATACAGATCCCTAAAGGTTTCTGGAGAAAGGAGAGGTTTTAATTCACAAGTTTTATCTACATAAGTTCAGTAAAACACCAGCCATTAAGTTAGTGTATATAAACAAACTGTGTTACACGTGTTCAAAGTTTAACTACAGCACAGTTGTTAGGGAAAAAGCAAACCACAAACCACCTATTTCAAGGACAGTTGTAACCTCTTGCCTTCATTTATAAATGGAAACAAGCTGCCACACAGTTCAGCAGTAAAGGAAGATAAAGAACTGATAATAATCCTTGTGCTCCTCACATGAACCCCAACAAGGCACTTGAATGAGACTTTTAAAGCTGTAAATTGTCCATCAAGACACAGAATAATTTCTGCTAATCCTGATGCCAGAAATTACTAATCCATCTGGAAAGCTATTTTTTTCTCATGTGCTTACAAGGATCTAAATGTCATCAGACAGAAAGACAACTAGGTTAGTAGCATGTTAAAAAAACCCAAACAAAACCTCAAAAAACACAGCCTGACAGAAATAAACCCTCCGAAGCAGTTGCCCCCAGAATAAGAAGGATTTGCAGAAGTACTTACAGCTTTCAATCTCCAGCGTGCAGTTCTGCTCATCCAGCGGATATCTCCGGAGGTCCATCATGCAGGCAGCTGTTGTGGTAATTCTAGGAAGCAAAAGAAGAGCCTGTTAATGTGTCTTGCTCCAATCTTTCCTTGCTCACCCTTCACTGACAGAAGAAACTGTTTGCACGTATCTGAGGCTCTTGCCTGGTTTTGCCTGAACGCTGTGTGTGCTGCTCACCTGGAACTGATGCTGTCCTAGCAAGGCTGGGCCGAGCTGGTGCAGAGAGTGCCCCCCAGCACCACTCTGTTCTGCTCTGTGCCCAGCACAACTGACTGGCCAAAGATCCGGGGATCTGCTTCCCCACCAGAGCAACAACGAGAGAACTGCACAGCACCAACTGTACAGCCCTTCCATGAAGTGAGAGGCTGACCAAAGGAATTAGCTCAAATCATAAATTCCGAGATGATGAGGTCACACACCTCCAAAATGGGACCCAAGATGGAGCAGATGACATGCCTACAGCACATGCAAACACCCTAAGTCACGACAGGGTCAGTAGCTATGTCTTTCTAAGGTGTACATGAGAGACTGAGTGACTAAGCTGCCTTCTCAAAATCCTGTCCCCTCCTATGAGAGTTACCAGTCTTTCATAGTAAACATTTAGAATATTCAATAACTGATTAAAAAACTTCTTGTACATTCTTTGTTCTCACAAAACACCTCCAGAGAACTCTTTCATTTGGTGGACCTCATACTTTCTCCTTAAATACCTAAGACGTTTTCATTAGAGGCAGAAAACTGCAGTTGCCTGCTAAAATTCACTCAAAATTTACTTCAGCAATTGTTTTTGTGAGGCACTTGAAAATCTTCATTAATACCCTTACTGTCCCCATCCAACAATGCCTTACTGTCATTTCCAGAAAAAAAAAATCCCCGTATATCCCTTCAAATAAAAGAGAACAAAAGCAGGGGCAAGTTATTCCTACAAACATTGTCCTGCCTTTTTCTTGTCAATCTAGACAAGATCTCTTAATATTACATTTTGACCATTCCCATGTATTGGGCTCTCCAAGAAAAGGGATGCTTTTTGGCACCAAGTTCTTTCTTCACTCGGTACAGGGACACTCACAGAATTGCTTTGGAAAATACAATGTTTTCAATCAGTGTGGGTCACCACATCTGCTTCAAAAGAAAGCTTCCTGGAGTGGACAAAAGCAAATGAGAAAGAACTTTGGCTCTGCTCAATGAAAGCCTTCCAGCTTTTACCAAAACCAGCCTGCAGAGGAATACAAGTTTGCTGATAGCAAATGAAGCAAGCAGCAGCATATATTGTACGTAAAAAATCCCCCAAACTCTTGGTAGTTCATACTCGGTTCCTTATTTTTAAATTTAGAGGACAATCAAGTAAATTGCCCAGTTCCAGTATCAATGTAAGACTGATTACTTTTGGGAGAACTTCAAGAAAGGCGCAGCGAGACCAGAAATAAATTAGAGCTCATTTTTTGTTTGATTATGGGGTTTTGGGGGGAGATTTGTTATTTTGTTTTCCACAGTATTTCCGTATCTATGTGTATATTACAGTCAGGAGTTTTAGAAGAATTTCAGTAGTTCACAGAGGAAAAGGCAGGAGCCCAGATTTACAGCCCAGATTTAAATGCACAGAAGGATCATGGGAAATACAAACCTGGACGACTATGAAGTTTTCTAACAGCTTTCTCTGCCCTAAATATTTCCTACCAGAGTGTACCAGATCTGGGGCCTCCACACAGAGACAACCCCCTGTCCGGAGCCACCGCCAGCGAAGTGTCTGTTTAACTGACGGGGGAGCAGAGCACTCAATTCTCACAATCTGCTGTAGCATTTTGGGTGCGGCAAATCCGACAAAAGGGGCTGCAGATAGGTAGGATAAAAGCTCTGTGGTGAACATAATCAGATCATTAAAAGAGACAGTGCCTCACCTCACCAGAAAGCAGAGAAAAAAAGTGGCATGGTAATGGAAATGATTGGTAAAGCAGAGTTTGAATCAAGCCAAAGTAATGTACTTAATTCAACTTACTTGTTCATTCTTATCCATAATACAAATCCATTGAACTATCACATTTTTACCCTGACTTCTCACAGTTATGGTAAAGTAGTTCTCTTTCATCTTTGTAATTATTTAAACAACAAAACTACCTTTTGATAATTCTTAGTGGTTTGCAATTCATGATGAATAGATAAATCGAATTACTAAAGCAAGAGCATGCAAGAATTGCCACCTCAGAACACTTTAAAAGGCAGGACACATGACCCAAACCTTTTCGGAAAGAAACAGCAGTTCATTACAGCAGTTGGGAGCACTTGAAACAGGCCTAAAGTCTTCTCCCCAGAGAAGAGATATTTCAATTTTCATAAAAGGACTAAAAATATTTGTTATACAGCCTGGACTAGTGCAAAAATATAATGTTTTACTTTGCATAACGTAAACTGGAGAAGAAACACTAAAAAAGTGAAAGCTTTTAAAAAAACACTGTGACTCAGGGCACTGCAGTCACTGGGAGATGGAACACAACAGCACCCAGAGAAACCCTGGATGGAATGAAACACCCTAGAACTGTCTCACATACTAATCTTCATCTGCTGCTAAAGGAAGAGAAACCTCGGGATATTTATGATTCCTACAATGAAAACCAGCCTTCATCTTCCTCTTTCGTCATCTGTATTTTGAATGTAGACTGATTACAAAACACAAAAAAAGCAAACCCTGAAGCACCACTAAACTGACTAAATGAAGGATTATGGAGACCTAAAGAAAACTTCATGTGTCCAAAAAGCATAGCTACAGTGCAAAGAAATCTGAACCACAACTGACCTGCAAGAAAAGTTTGCTGTCAGTAATTCAAAGGAGTTCATATAAAACTATTATTTCTGAGAAAGCCGAAAACCTGCTCATCTCCAAACCTTTGGGGAGGTTCTACAATTCAAATAAGAACTGGAAATTAGAACTCCTCCTTTCACAGGCCAAATGTGAAGGCCATAAAGAACTTGTTTTTAAACACTTCCAAACTTAAGAGGGATGCAGAAAATAATACCCATATTATAATACCATCCTAGAAGTGTTAGAAGTTCTTATTTTTTAGTGCTGTGGAGGGGACAGTTTTTCAAAATCCTACACATTTTGCTTTTCTGACAAGTTCAAGTGGGATTTGAAATTCATAATAGCAACTTAAACAGTTCTGACATCACTACTGAATTACAAACAGCACTGGAGGACAGGAGAGCAATGCCAATGACATGTGGAGATGGACAGGATCCAATTCCCTCTTGGAGCTGCAGAGGCTCTGCAGCTGTGGAGAATAAGCCGAACAGAAACTTGTCTGTGCCCTGGAAGGAAGCAGCCCTGACCTGTAATTACAGGATTACAGACACTGCAGCAATGCTGAGCAAGAAGGTGACAACTTCAGATGGCTCTTCTGAGTGCTACTGTGAGAACCTTCTAATGCCCCCCTCTACTGTTCTAGCCCTGCCAGATTGGGAGCCTGTGGAATTGGAGGCAGAGCTGAAACCCAGGAAATCAAAAAGACTAATCCTTTCTTTAAATGTATGCAGGTACATCCTGATGAAAGCAGCATGAGATTCTGCCTCAGATTGTGTACCTGAGGGCAGACAGACTCCCCATGAGCAACACCAGGAGCAATCGAAAAAGCTCACAAGGATACCACAGACTGGATCTCTTTATCAAGGACTTTATAAGAATCCTCTGCTCACACTGACTGGGAGTCAGGAACTCTCTGAATTATTCACTGAAATAACGTACTGCAGCTCAACCCACTGTTCACCTCTGCTTCTTGGAAAAAGTCCTTCTGCAGACAGCTGGAAAACATCTGTGGCAGAAGCAGAACCAGCTGCAAATACACGGAAATTCTGGGAACAAAACTTCAGTGTGATAAATCTCTCTCCTGGGCAATACTGGATTTAGACACATATCAAGGTTGTTAGACATTCTAACAAATGTACTTTCAAATTAAAATGGATTTCTTGCTAATTAGAGAGTTCGCAGAATTTTTCCTCTGTCTGCTTATTCACAGAAAAGCTTCCCTTGTGTGATCATAGTTTGAGAGTTGGTTACAGCAAAGGATAAAAAATAGTGACATTTCTACAAGTTTAAGTCTAAACATTTAGCTATTGACTACTATAATCTTTCAACTGTAAACGGTATATAGAGTTTCTCAGAGTAGCTTTATAGGAAAAAAAGAACAGTTTTATTGACACTGATGTCTCTCTTTGAGATGAAATTACATTCACATGCTACCCAAAATCTGTAATATGCTCTCTCCTACCACCACTTCTCAACATTTCTGGAGTATTCCAACCGAAGTGCCAGGAGCTCGTTTTTCTTACTCCATTAAGAGCTCATTATCTAATGACATGCAGATATTTTCCCTTGTTTCTGTGGTGTGCAATCCTTGAACAGTCACGTGCCCTCTGAAAGCACTTAGTGCATTTGTTAAAGCTACAAGGTATAGCCAGAACACGAGTTAAGAATGTGAAGGATATAATGCTAAAGCATTTTCTAATTGTAACACAAAAAGGAAAAAAACTAATAGCTGATAAAACCCAGCAAGTCAGACCACACAGAAACTTCAGCCTCAGTAAGCTTTGTTGTTGTTGATATTGCTGGTAAAAGAAGCATATCAGATCTGCAGGAGGAAACTAAACCCTACGTGCCCCTGATCTTCCTTGAGAAGCAGCTCTGCATTTCTCTGCTGACGGACAGCCTATTTTGCCATGTGCATCCCTGCAGGGAAGAGCCACGGAAAAATGGAGCATTTGGCTATTATTTCATGGTAAAGGAATTCTGACTCAGAAGAACCAGAATTATTTGCACATTTCCATGCAGTGTGCCCAATTTCCTGCTATACTGCCATAGAAGTACCTCTTCTTTAAGTGAGATAGCATTTCCTACTATTCTGTCACTGTATCTAAAACTCAGTCATAACATCATGTTCATAATTTAAACCCCTGCAAAAAGCACACATCACTGCAGTAAAATCTTCTGCTACAATAAACTCAGCTTTAGACTGAATTTATTCAAACCTTTCTCTGAAGTAATATGTTCTC